TTCGGTGACCCAGCCATCCCAGCCTGACGAAGGGTCTTTGTTTGGACTGATGGCGTCGAGGTTTTTTTGCCTTCTCGCACGATAGCCTGCGTCGATGCAACCCCGGAAAAGCACGTTCGCGTCAGCCCGCGAAGAGGTTTGTAAAGGCCGCATGAGAGGTCGCGAGAGCACCTTTCATAGGACAATAGAAACGATTCGACGGGGTTCTGGCCGCAGCTCAAGAAAAAGGCCTTCAATAAGCATGTTATAGCATGTTCTGCAGCCACGAAGCCGGGTGAACGGCCCAGGTGAGACCATGTCGGCCCGGGATTCGTGGCTGTATAGCCAGGCCCGCTACAGCATCAGCACCTCAGCTCTTGATCGACGGTTTCAACCATGTGCCACCAAAGCGAAGATATGAGTGCCACCCCACTGAGCTACGCCTTGTCTGAAGATTCTGAAGATTGGAGCCGCATGCTTTCTGAATGGAAGTGAGCAACGCTGGCGCGAGCACTGGGATCAGGAAGAGAGACACACACAGACATACACATAGGGGAATAGCATATAGACGTGTGTAGAACTATATGTCCACACACATATAAACATATACCCTTTCATGGCCGTTTTTTGTTTTCCACTGGTCCGATTTGTTTTTCAACTTTTCTAACAACTCTGAGGTGCAGTTCGATGCTTGGCGGCGGTAGCCTGTTCTCCGCTTTTCCCTGGACCGCTACGCTTTTTGTGGCGCCCGAGAAGCCATAGCACATCTTAGTCAACAGGCGGGTGTTGTGGCCTAGAGCTCGTTGAGCCGTGGCACCAAGGCTCGATTGAGACGGTGCTCTCTCCACAGCTGTGGCCGTTGGGGCGAAGCTGGGATGCAGTTCATGTAGCCTCCCTTTCTCATTCTGGCTATGAAGCTCTGAAGCCGAGATGGGCAGCCAAGGAAAGGTCTTGGGCACATATCCCTGCCCTATCGGATGCCGGGAGTCTTGTCTATGTGCAGCAGGAGTTGTGTTGTTTATCATGGCGGAGATAACAACGTGTGCTCAGAGCTGGGGTAGCATTGCTGCGCAGTCGAAGCCGCTTGGATGCGAAAGCTGACGGATTCAATAGCCATCAATCAATCTGGGCAAGGCCACCAACGCATACAGCTGCACGGCCTGTCCGCCTGGCTACTACCGACCGCTTGGTGAGACGGGATGCGTACCGCGCCTTGCCAGCTTTTTGGATACCTTGACGCTGCGAGTTCTTCAGAGCCCACCAGGAGGTGAGCAAGCCTGTCTGCCCACAACGCAACTGGAAACTTGAGGTGCACACAGCTGGCCAGCGACGTGTTTCAGGCTGGCTGCGCACGGCGGAAAGGTAGGAATTGCTCTGTTGCACGGCTTCGGCAGAGTCCCAGGGAAACGAGAATCTTTGCTCAAGACTGTTCCACCAGAAAAAGCACCGTATCGTCCATGACACGAAGCGCTTCCCGACTGTGCCCACTTCTCAAGTCCTTGAAGGACTCGTGGGCTGGGGCGATGTGCTTCAAGTGTCCGCTTGGTGCATACTGCGACCCTAGCCGCCCGGCCCAGGACAACTCGTCTCAGAGCGTCCTAGTATGAAACTGAGTCGAGCCGAGACACGGGTAGCAGGGCTTCAGCAAGTCAAAGACTGCACTTGAGGGGTTGAGGCACCTGGAGGTTCGAGTATGCTGCATTGCTGCATGATATTGGGCGCTTTCTCCTGAGAGGAGCCTGTCGCTTTGCCGGGTGGCTTGATTTCATTCAGCCATGACCAGTGGAGCATGGTGGGTGCCATCTTTCACGGTCACGGTCATCCTTGCTCCGGTGCTTTTGGTTTTTGCAGTGGGGACAGTGACAGAGACACTTGATCTTGCTCTGATGTTCCTATGTGAGGCTACTACCGCGTTGAAAACTCCAGCTACATGGCGACGCTTGGCTTGCACTTGGAGCCATCTTGGATTTCAGGCATCGGCCCAAGTAGCGGACTCATGTTGACCCGTAAGTGCTGTTGACACGCTTTGCGCAAATGCGCTTTTTCGGGTCACGCCAGTTCTGTGGACCTTCAGATCTTCAAGAACGAATCGCCAAGGTGATTAAGTTTCAGGTTTTAAGGCCTTCAAGGTACCTTTACAAACTGAAGTGCCCCACTGAGCGAGGAGTTTCGGGAAGTGGTCGGTTGAAGCGGCATGCAGCTCCAATAGTGCGCCGGCCTTACCACAACATTGCATAGGACAGCAAAGCTGCAGAATCGTCGAACACAGGAGTGTTGAGGCACCAGGCTTAGTGCCAGATGTAGCATAGGCACTACAGTCACTACAGTGTCAGGAGTAGTTTCGAGTTGCAAAGCAAGAACAAGACATGCTCGTGCTACCATGTGCAGCTTGCGCGCAGTAAAGGTGACAAGTGTGATTTCGACTGTTGTAGCAGGTACGTCCGACTGGCCAAGTAGGATATCCCAGTATTTGAAGGCGTAGCTTCGTTGCCTGCAGTAGACTGCAGATGCTGTGTGCCCCTACTGCCTTCAAATCACAACGTGCTTTGCTGCATTCCGAAGGCAACATGCTGTGCAGTCCAGAATCCGTTGGGTTACTGTAGAGTCGGGGTGTGCACACAAAATGTGCACTCGAGTACGCGCGCACACACTCGCGGGCACAGGCCCGCAGAGTGCAAAGCATGTTGTTCATTTCTCTTGTGCTTCATATGTCGTACAGTATGAATGATGCAAGCGGCATCGCTCCAGCAACCCTAATGCGCAATCTAGCGGTCCAGCATGTTTACTCAACTGTCAGGGCCTGGCAGATCTCCATGCAAATGCGGCCCGGCTACAAGTACATTCAGTACAGGGTGCCTAGTCCTAGCAAAGTCGAGGTTCCAGCATGTCTAGGACCAATTGCCGTGTTTTGAACTGTGGGCCAACTTGAAGTGTGTTGGTTCGTGGCGACCTTCGTGGACACTTCGATGACGCCTCATTTTCACTTGCTTGGTTCATAGCGATCACAATACAACTGCTCGGCGCATTCCACAAGGTCATACAGACCAGCGGGATCTTTTTTCGCCGCAACCCTCCGAGCTTTGCAGCAACCCGAATGAGACTCCGAAGCCTCCACCCCCTCCTCCGAAGCCCTCGGAGCCCACTCTTTTTTGGGGGGGGATCTGCCTGTCCCAGGAGATGTCCAGCTGGGGCCCAAGAATTCTTTGTCGGACTTCGAAGTTTTCAGAAGTTTAGGGTTTGGTTTTTGCAGAAGTCTTCCTCGTTTTCTTGATGGGTATGCTGAACACTGGCTTTTGCAGGCATGGCCGATGCCTAATGATGAACGAATGCGCTTGAAAGCTCGGAGGCTGGTTGGAGGCCAAGAAGAACCACCGGTGGCTGCTTCTGGCCCTGATTCAATTTGTCAAGTACAGGAGCGTTGGCGTTTGTGTGTTTGTTGTTTTTTGTTTGTTAGTGTGTGTAGATGTGTGCAGCACCACTACATTGCCGCTACATACGATTTGTTTAACACTGTCTTCCGCAGTGATGCCTTGCAGAAGGGAAGGGCAACGTAGGAACGCTGTGTGTGTTGGTGTGTTGGTGTGTCGGTGTGTTGGTGCGTTGGTGCGTTGGTGCGTTGGTGCGTTGGTGCGTTGGTGCCTTGGTGCGTTGGTGCGTTGGTGCGTTGGTGCGTTGGTGCGTTGGTGCTTTGGTGCGCGTTGGTGGGCGTTGGTGCGTTGGTGCGTTGGTGCTTTGGTGCGTGTTGGTGCGCGTTGGTGCGTTGGTGCGTTGGTGCGTTGGTGCGCGTTGGTGTGCGTGTGTTGGTGTGTGTTGGTGTGTGTTGGTGTGTGTGTTGGTGTGTGTTGGTGTGTGTGTGTGTGTGTGTTGGTGTGTGTTGGTGTGTGTTGGTGTGTGTTGGTGTGTGTTGGTGTGTGTTGGTGTGTGTTGGTGTGTGTTGGTGTGTGTTGGTGTGTGTTGGTGTGTGTTGGTGTGTGTTGGCGGGTGTGGTTTGGTGTGTGTTGGCGGGTGTGGTTGTGTGTGTGTTGGTGTGTGTGTGTGTGTGTGTGTGTGTTGTGTTGTGTGTGTTGTGGTGTGTTGGTGTGTGTTGGTGTGTGCGGGTGTGGGTGTGTTGTTGTGTTGGTGTGTGTGTTTTGGTGTGTTGGTGTGTGTGTGTGTGTGTGTGTGTGTGTGTGTGTGGTGTGTTGGTGTCTTGGTGTGTTGGTGTGTTAGATGTTGGTGTGTTGGTGTGCGCGGGTGTGGTTGTGTGTGTGTGTGTGTTTGTTGGTGTGTGTGTGTGTGTGTTGAGGTGTGTGTGTGTGTGTGTTGAGGTGTGTGTTGAGGTGTGTGTGTGTGTGTTGAGGTGTGTGTGTGTGTGTGTGTGTGTGTGTTGAGGTGTGTGTGTGTGTGTGTTGAGGTGTGTGTGTGTGTGTGTGTGTGTGTGTGTGTCTGCACCTGGCCAGTGCAGCGTACCTGCCAATTTGAACAGGGCTTGTTTGTGATGCTGTTTAGGTCGCTGTGCAAGCCCTTGTTTCGTATTATATCTAGAGTACACTCATGTGAGGGTTCATGCAGGCTCTGCCTTTGAAATCTTCACCTCTAAGACAATCGTGAGAAGAGGGAGGATTGCACGAGTGTGCTCTAGACGGTTGTTCGTTCAACGTGCCGTCTACGGTAGGGTTGCCTACTGCATGGACCCTGATCGGTCTAGAAGCTTAGCCTTGAGATACTGAAAGGCCCAGGCTCTGTCTGAAACAACCTTTGGACTCTGAATCAGTCCAACTCGACTGGTACTCCGCGTGAGCAACGCATTCTGTTAGGTCTGAGTCTCGAAAGGCCCAGGCTATGTCGTTGTATGGCTTGCTTTTTCATCCTCCCAAAGAACAGTCTCCAAAGCCTGTCTGAGGCCTGTTGGGTTCAGGGCTCAGTCTGTACCAGTTGATTGAACAACCTTTTTCTTCATCATGTCCAGCTCATGGTGGAAGCAATCTGAATGGAGTGAGCCATCCTCTTGGGAATGGCATTCAAACACTTCTTCTTCTTGGCAAGAAGGACAGTCGTGGCAACAAGCTCAGCAATGGACTGCCACCACGAAGCCCACCGAACCAGTTCGCCCCCCGAAAGTGCTCCTTCCTGACCACTTTCAGTCTGACGACAAGTTCTATGATCGTCAGCCTGTTGGAAAAGGGTCTCACCAACTCTTTCGGACTGTCCAGCCGACTGAGTGGTCTCGCAAAACGTCCTTGGCGGGACGACCCATAGAAGATATCAGGGCCTGGGAGCTCAGCCACCGTGGCTCTCACCCCTCAAAAGAGGTCGTCAGATCAAGATGACCCTGACAGCTCGTCGGCTCGCCCTAAAGCCAAAGCGAAATGCAAACCTGCGACTGAAACAGCGCCGGCTGTACAGTTCTTGCAACTCGAAGCCCAGAAGCTGCTGTCAAGCCCACCGGTTAACAAGCTGGATTCAAGGCCAGTTGGTCCTAAGGACAACCAAGTTGAAGAATGGCTCCAAACTTTTAAGACCAAGCCCAACTTCAAAGGCCAGTTCGCAAATTTGAAGAAGCATGTTCTGGCTGTTCAGAAGGTCTTTGAGAGTGGAACTCCCAAAGCCGACATCGTTGCTGCAGCAGTCAAGTTTGGTCTCGACGAAAGGCTTGCGAGTCGCCTGACAACTCGCAATCTTTCGACAACTATTGCTGTTGCTCAGTTTTCGGCAGCGTGACTAGCTCACAAAGCATTGTCGATTTCTCCGAGTCAGGCCCAACGTTTGAAAGAGGACATTTGTGGTCTTGGGGAAGCTTGTACCTTCTTCATTCACCATTGTCCTGAGTTTTCCAAAGCTCCGTCGCTGTGGGCCCAGGGATTGCTGCACCTTGTGTTGCTGTTTTGCTTCTCTGACTCCAACCAGCAATCCTGTGCAGAACTCCTACGTAGAAAACTCCGAGCAATGCAAGTTCACCCGTCAATGTACACGTGGCCCAGATTTTTAAAGCCAAACTCAGTGTACATCAAAACTATGGTAGATTGGCGCCTTTTTAACTCTATCGAAAGATATCGGCAGCCATCTACTATGATGTATATAGGTTCAACCAGTATCTCGGTCCCACGTCGGGAATCGAACAGATTGTCAGTGTACAAGAAGCTCGTAGCTGGTCAGCAAGCTCAGGCGGAGCTGGCCCTTCGTTACTGGGCTTCCAATCTCTCCATTGAAAACTATTCCATTTTTCAAGTTGCAACATGCTCTGACTACAAGTCAGCCTGGGTGCTTGAGCATTGTCTTATCGATGCATGGCAACCAAAACTCAACTTTCCGTTCATTACGTCCCACCTCCGGCGTTCCGCCTTAGGTTTCGTGCCGTCTAAGAGAAGACGCGCGCAATCCTACAGCAAGTTTGGCAAAAGGCTTTGGTTGAAGCTTCGAAAGAAGCTGTTTCAGCAAGAACAGCCCTATTGCTTTCAACTTTCGAGATTGAGAGCATGGGAGACCTTGTATGATTTGGCAAGTTTCTCTCGCGCGTCGTTTGAAAAAGTCAAAACACTCCGGTCTCAAAGACTGGTGGATGACGAAATCTACGCGGTTGTTAGGCTCAGTTTGAACATCCAAGAGCCCTTTCGGAGTAAAGTTCGCGCCCTCCTTAAAGGAGTTTGCAAGTACCGCAATATGACCTGGCCCAAAGGGTCTATGGGTCTTCAGTTGCAATTTACTGCTGATGATCACTTTGCGGCAAGAGTTTCCAAGTGGCTGCGGGCCCAGATAATTCGTTTCAAGCATGTGCTTGTTCCTTTTCATTTGCCTCCCTCTCAGATTCGGGAGAAGCCACATCAAAGTCTGAAAGACTTTCTTCACAATGTGAAACAATGGGATGCGTGGCTCCAAATGAATTCGTTTGATCAGATCGTTTGCCCCTGCAAGAAGTACAGGTCAAGACTCCCTGCTGATTGTTTCATTTCTGGACATGTCTGCGCTGGCCTAGAGATGCTTGATTCGTTGCATCCTGCTTGTAGCTATATCGGATCCGGCAGTGCTTCGTCAACCTTTTTTCCGGCAAAGCACAAGTTTATGGCCCAGTCCATAAAGACTTTTCAAAGCTGGAGGAAGAAACATTGCTTCCCCGCAATGCTCGAAGCTGAGTTTCAAGAGCTTATGCTTCAGGAATGGCAGCTCCACTGTCAAGCTCTTCGTGAGCATTCTCGTCTCACTTGGTTAGACGTTTCAACAATTCGCAACATCTTGCACTCCGAATTTGTTTTACACTGCGAGGACCACGTGCCAAATCACGTAATGACTTTTTGCCCTCGCTTTTATTTCAGTTCCGCGCTCCAAACCTGGGAAGATGCTGATGTCTTCGAGACACTGTCAGGACATCCCCAAGAATGGAAGAAGTGGGTGCTCAACCAAGTACCCAGTTCTTTAAAAAGGAAGTACCCCTGGTCTATCAATCCCAAAGGGAAATTGCCCAACGGATTTGTTTTTCTCAAGCGCAAGAAACAGTTCGCCAAAGGTCGAACTATCATTTCATATTGCGCTACTCCTTTCTGTCAGCTGCTAAAAGCCGCTTCTGCGTGGGATAGGGCTTTCGGCCTAGAACCCACTCCAGTGATCTGGAATCGGTTGCACGAGTTCGTTAAAAGAACGCCTGCTCACGCGCGCCTGCTTGAGATCAATGATGATCTCGTGGGTTTCTTTAACTCTGTGCCAAGGGAGCAAATTGTGCAATCCCTCAACCTGTTGATTTCCAAATACCGCAGTCTGGGATATCCTCCTGACATTTCGGTTTCTTTAACCAAAGCCTCGTGTGCTGAAACAGCATGGCCTGGCAAACCGCAGGGTAAATCGACCAAACAGGTCAAATACCTTCAGGTTCAAGATCTTCCGGACATTGTACAGCTATCTTTTCAAGCCGGAGTGTTCCAAGCTATGGGACGCATTTTTCGCCAACACAGAGGCACTTGCATAGGCAATCAAATTAGTCCTGTGCTTAGTAGCCTCCCGGTAATTCAAAGAGAGCTGCAGTGGCAACGAGAATGGAACTTTCAACTCGCCTCACGCAGCTTTTTCGAAAAACAAGCTTCCAGTGTCTTCGTCTGTAGATATGTCGACAACAGGCTTCTGTTATGTACAGAACAAGAGGCCGAGCTTCGATGCTTTCAAGACCTCAAGCACCTTTCTTTCTACGGCCCGAGTATTCAGCTTGAGACTGTTGATGATCACCATTTTCTGGGCTTCGATATTTCAGCATCAAACAGATCGGTTACCTTTAAGCAACCGGTCAAACCCTGGAAACTTCGTCACGCTTCCAGCGCAGGGTCTTGGTCCGCGAGAGCTTCAGGTTTCTTTTCTCGTAAAGCTCTCATTGTACAGTTTGCGTGGCCGCCCTCTTCCAGGGGTGCTCAAGTTCAGCAACTTAGAGAACTCTACCTTCAACAAGGTTTCCCACGGCGAGTTTTGCAGTAAAATACTGACAAACTCGATGTCTGCATGCTTCTTTCAACGCACCTTTGATCAGTGCATCTTTGTGTTGCGCACTGTTCCGCCCCTCAAAACAGCACGGAACAAATTCAAAGCTTTGCCACTTTTTGGTTCAAGTTGCGAGCTTTCCACGCTGTAGCAGCTTTTTGCAATGTCGTACGTTTTCCATTTTTACTGTGGAAGCAATGACTTCAACTCTGGAGCCGTTCCCGGGCAAGTGATGCAGGGACGACCTTCAGCGTTGATGGCTGGCCCTTCCAGGGCAGAAAGCGTTCCGCCGCCCAGACCTCGACCATTTGTTTCACCTTCAGAGAGTGCCCAGCCAAAACAGCGGCCCAGAAGACTTTCGCGCTCTCGTTCTAGATCCAGACCGCGACGCCGACACCGAAGGGCTGAGCGCCAACAAGAACTGCCGTTTCCGCCAGGAGACTTTCGGTCAGTGCCTATCCTCCGCAGCCCCGTTGGCCGCCTGTGCCACAGTTCGCGCCTCCAGGACAGCTGGACTTTCCGCCCGTGTGGAACATGGGGTCCCCGTTTCACCAACAGCAAAGGGTGCCGCGTGCTCAAGTGCCAGGCCAGCATGTTTATCCGTTTCAGTTTGGCTACAGGCCACCGCCAGTCGACAATGTGTTTCAACCTCGGGGTCCGGCCCCTGTTTACCCTGAGGTCCGTCCCGCCCCTCGTCCCACCCTCCCCGTGCCGGTCCGACCCATTCGGGGTGCCTTGCCTGGCGTGGGCAACACACAGCCTCCCAAGCCAAGTGCATCCACAGGTTAAACCTGTCAGACGAAAGGCCGAGCACCAACAACAACAAGTTGTTCCCCCTCAGCAGGGCGCTTGCAAGCTTGTGCCAGCCGCCCAACGCCCTGCCGTGCCAACCAAGGAGCTTGCAGTTGCTGAAGACAATATGTTCCTTGATGTTTTTCAAGCTTCGGCCCCCGAGTTGGAAGACCAAATTGCGGGCCGTGACTCCAGGGATACTTTTGGTACCAACCAGCCCCTCACGCCGTTTCTGGACTTTTGTTTCATCGCTTTCCAGACCAAAGCGTTGAGGAACCCTGCTTCATGGCTTTCTTTCACCAGGGAACAAACTCAATGTGGACATGGGCGGCAACACGCAACAAGGAAGTGGGTCAAAGAATGGCAGATGTGCAAAGCTGCTGACATTCGTGAAACCATGGATTTTTCTTCTTTCCAGGTTTCCTGAAGGCCTGCCGTTTCTCTGCGTGGACTCCAATGTGTTGCAAATTCTGTCAGATTCTGTGGTGCTCCAGATGTCCCATTTTCGATACGTTTCAGCCCCAAGCAACTACCTTCGAGTCACCAGCAGCTGAAAGCAGTGTGCTGGTTTTTCCGGTAACCGGGTTTCCAGGACCGCCTCCCGGGCCCGATCAGTGGTATCAGTGGGCACATGGCACTGACAGCCTCGGGGCCATGGGGATTTAGCCTCTGGCCGAGTTTTGCCTACGGCAAAACAAACTCTGGGATTGAAACCTCCGCAATCCAGTTGGTCCTTTTTTTGCAAAGTTTTGACAACTCCTGACTGGGAGGAGTCCTTGCATGAATTCGTTAG